TGGGACAACAGCAAGCATGCTAACATTCCTATTATAAGAGTCTCAGAAGGAGAAGAGAGAGACAAATGGGCAGAGAACTAATTTGAAGAAATAATGGCTGAAAACTTTCCTAACGTAAGGAAGGAAACAGACATACAGATATAGGAAGCACAAAGAGCACCACACAAGATAAACCCAAAGAGGCCAAACTAAGACACATTATATTTAAATGTTAAAAATTAAAAATAAAGAGAGAATTCTAAAAGTCCCAAGAAAAAGGCAACAAATAACATACAAAGGAAACTCGATGAGGCTAATAGGTGACTTCTCAGCAGAAACCATACAGGCTAGAAGGGAGCAGCACAATATATTTAAAGTGCTGAAAGGAAAAAATCTACAGCCAAGAATACTCTAGCCAGCAAGGTTATCATTCAGAATGGAAGGAGACATAAAGAATTTCCCAGATAAGCAAAAATCAAAGGAATTTATCACCAAGAAACTGGGTTAACAAGAAATGCTAAAGGGACTTATTTAAGTGGGAAAGAGAAGACCACAAATAGGAATAAGAAAATTATCAAAAAGAAAAAAGGCAATAAAATCACTGGTAAAGTCAAAAATACAGTAAAGTTAGCAGATCAACCACCTATGAAGATACTATGAAGGCCAGAAGACAAAAGTACTAAAATTACCTATTTCAATGATAAGAGGGTAATGGATACACACACACAAAAAGGGGTTAGATATGATATCAAAAACATAAAATGTGAGAGGAGAGTAGTAAAAGAGTAGAGCTTTTAGAAAGAGGTCAAACTAAAGAGAATATCAACTTAATATAGATTGCTATATAAGTAGGTTATTCTATATAAACCTCATGGTAATCACAAACCAGAAATCTATAATTAATATACAAAAAATTAAGAGAAAGGAAACCAAACATAAATACTAAAGAAAACCATCAAATCACAAAGGAAGAGAGCAAGAGAAGAAGAAAGGAACAGAGAAGAACTACTAAAACACCCAGAAAAAAAGTAACAAAATGACAATTAGAACATAGCTACTTTAAATGTCAACAGACTAAATGCTCCAATCAAAAGGCATAGGGTGGTCGATTGGATAAATACACAAGACCCATATATATGATGAATACAAGAGGCACATTTCAGTCCTACAGACACTCATAACCTGAAAATGAAGGGATGGAAAAAGATACTTGATGCAAATGGAAATGAAAAGAAAGCAGGGGTAGCAATACTTCTGTTAGACAAAATAGACTTTAAAACAACAACTGTAACGAGACAAAGAAAGGCACTACATAACGATAAAGGGAACAATCCAACAAGAGGATATAACTATTGTAAATAACAATTGGGTCAATGAAGGAAAAAAGAGAGAAGGCTCAAACAAATAAAATAAGAAATGAAAGCGGAGAAATTACAACAGATACCTCAGAAATACAAAAGATTATAAGAGAATACTATGAAAAGCTATATGCCAAAAATTGGATATTCTACAAGAAATGGATAAATTCTTAGAATTACATAACCTTCCAAAACTGAACCAAGAAGAAATAGAGAATTTGAACAGACCAATCACCAGTAAGGAGAGCAAAACAGTAATTAAAAATCTCCCCAAAAATGAGAGTCCAGGACCAGAGGACTTTCCTTGTGAATTCTACCAAACATTCAAAGAAGACTTAATACCTATACTTCTCAAACTCTTCCAAAAAATTGAAGAGGAGGGGAGGCTTCCAACTCATGCTATGAAGCCAACATTACCCTGATACCAAAACCAGACAAGGACAATACAAAAAAAGAAAATTACAGGCCAATATCACTGATGAACATCGATGTAAAAATCCTCAACAAAATACTAGCAAATCAAATACAACATATTAATACAACAGTACATTAATCAAATACAACAATACATGGTGATCATATACCATGACCAAGTGGGATTTATTCCAGGGATGTAGAGATGGTTCAACATCTGCAAAGTAATCAACATGATACACCACATTAACCAAACAAAGAGTAAAAATCATATGATCGTCTCAATAGATGCAGAGAAAGCATTTGATAAGATACAGCATCCATTTATGATTAAAAACTCCAAATAAAATGGGTATAGAAGGAAATTACCTCAACATAATAAAGCCCATATAGGACAAACCCACAGCAAATATCATTCTCAATGGAGAAAAACTGAAAGCTATCCCTCTAAGAACAGGAACCAGACAAGGATGCCCACTGTCACCACTCTTATTTAACATAGTATCGGAAGTCCTAGCCAGAACAATCAGGCAAGTTTACAAGTCAGCTTGCCTTCACTTCCTGCTTATGTAGAGCCTCAAAGTCACCTAGAGGCGAGAGCTTTGCACCTTTCTCAAGTCTGTTTTTTGCAGTGATGGGTTAGCAATTATGAGACTATTTTCAGTGTTTTATAGGATTAAGCAAATAAGTAAATATATTGAGGATAATGGGAATGAGGTTTCTCATTGTGAAAGAAGGGAGTTCAAATATGGAAAAGGAGAGACTAGAACAAATCTGTGGTGTAGGATTAGAATTGTAGGTATCAGTATAAACTCAAAGTTTTCAATAGACAGATAGACAAGAAATAAGTATAAATTTCTAACTCTGTCCAGTGAGTTGGCCTGGAAGCGACGACACCTCAGTAGCAATGCATGCACCTAGTGAACTGAACTTGTTTTGAAATACCATTCTCCACGAAATGGAAGTAGGGCTTCTTGAAAAAAGGGCTGATTCCAAGGCTGGGGCAAGGAAAAAAGTCAGGTAACCCTGGAATATCTTATTGTGCCAGAAGGTAAGGAAATGCTCAAAGAATGAACAGGATATGTCAGAAAGACAAAAGCAGCAGCTTGAAAGGGCTCCCAAGGGTCAAATCTGAGGTAATTTAAACCTCAATAAATAATGAGAGTAATAAATAATAACTCCTTGAGTAAAACAGGAATTCATGAATACATAAATGGGCAAGAAGATAAAACTCTCCTTTATAGTAAAGTGTCAACAATAAATGTTAATGAAAACATGGGTTTAGAAAACCACCAAAGACATACGCTACAAAATAAATAGCCTGTACTCTTCAACGAAAAGTCAAGGTTACAAAAAACAAACAAAGACTGAAGAACTGTTCCAAATTAAAGGAATCTAAGGAAACATGATAACTAAATGCAACAATATAATACCAGATTGGACTCTGAACCAAATTTTTTTGTTTTTAAAGGATATCATTGTGATAATTAGAAATATTTTTAAAGATCTGTAAATTAGATAATAGTCTACATAAATGAAAATTTCCTGAGTTTGATCATTGCATTGTGGTTATAAAAGAGAATGTCTTCGTCTTAGGAAACTTACATTGAAGTATTTAGGGGTAAAGGGGCACCATGTCTGAAACATATTCTCAAATTGCTTAATAAAAATAATAATATAAACATGTAGAAAGAAACAATGATAAAGCAAACATGATAAAGTGTTAACTGCAGAATCTGAGTGAAAGGTATATGGGAATTCTTTGTATTATTCTTACAACTTTTCTATCAGTTTGAAACTATTTTGAAATTTAAAATTACTTTTTAAAAAAGAGACTTACTGACTGGGAACAATGAATGAATTAGATCTAACATATCCATACAGTTAAATCTGGAGAATATAACATCAAGTAAAATAGCAAGCAACTTACGTATCAGATAATACCATTTACTTAAATTTTTAGATCACATAATATATATCGTTATTCATGAATGTAATAAAAATTTAGTGTTTACTTTGGAAAAGGGAAAAGAATGGAGGGAGGGAAACTGGGTAGGGTAATAATTGTAATAATGTATTTATTTTAAAATATAGCTAACTCAAGTGTGATAAGATTCTAATACGTGTTACATGTGATGGCACGTACATAGGTATCTGTTATTATGTTTCTACTATTCAATGTGTAATTATATAAATTACAATAAAAATTTTAAGAAAAAACTCTTAACAATTCAAAGAATCTAAGACTCCAAAATGCCCCAGTATTCCTATTGCTGCAAGCTAAATGGTTTCTGAAGGTGCTTGAGCCTAAGTGCAAAGATAGAGACACATAGAAATAAAAAGTTGAGTATAGGGCGAGAAGGTCAAGTCAAATCCTGAGAAAATCTATTCTTTCCCCAAGGTTTCTCTTGAGCTGCTCCTTAAGTCTACATATAATTTTTGCCATTTTCCTCACCAGGATTACTTCTTTCAGATCTCATAAAAGTATAAAAGACAACAGGTACAAAGCATTATGTACTTAAATCAGACATACTATCTACATTCATACATAACTCATACATTTCAACCTGCTGAAAGAAATTTTGACTCAACTCTGGCCAGGTTTGAAATTTAAAACCTGGATGAGATGGATCTATTATATTATGTTTTATATTTTAATCAGAGAGAAGCTCCTTATCTTTCTTACAATCATCTGTGAAAGAAATAATGCTTATACTATAAGATTCAAATTCTTTTATAAATAAAATGCTCTTTTTCTCTTTCAAACTCAGGCAAAGAATATCTATGTATTGCATACGATTATACATTGCAGCAGACACGTCTAGGAAATTAAACTGCTTCCTCTTCCTCCTACCTACAGTTAGACCATATTTCTACATTTCCCAGCCCCCTCGGCAGTTAAGTGTGTCCACGTGACTGAGCTTTAACTCCCAGGTCTGGCCTACAAAAATCTCCTGCTAGCAATCCTCCATCCTCTTTCGCCTTCTGCCAGCTGGATACAAATGACACCAGGGCCCTCGGGGACGACAGGAACATGCATGGAACACGCCTGTGTCCCTGAATCTCTACATGGAGGAAAGTCTCTTATCAACAAGGAACAACCATATGAATGACAAAAAAAGAATGTTGTTGTATTAGGCCACTGAGATTTGGGGGACTCTTTGTTACCACAGTTAGTGTTACATTAACTGAAACATGCATAATCCTAAACAATCTCCCAATTGTCAATATGAAATGCATTATACTCACAAATTGAGGTTTGTAGTAGGCTGGACCTAGCGTGCTGTCACTAGCAGGTGGAAAATGTTTTATAATACTGCCATCCTCCTTAATATGATAACCATATGACTGTCCACAAGAAGGAATTGAAGGAACATAAACACTTCTAGAAACTGTAGGTGCCCTGGAAATTTTCTGTAAGGAAACATTTTATACGATTTACTCAAAGGCAAGAGAAGGAATGAAGAACCAAACATTTAAAATTTACTAAAAGGCAACTATTAAATATTGACTTACTGAGTTTCATAATATAAACCAAAAATGTTTGTTTTATCAAACTAATTTATTTATTTACTTGGAGGGTTTTTTGGTGAGAAAGATTGGCCCTGAACTAACATCTCTTGCCAATCTTCCTTTTTTTGCTTGAGTAAGATTGACAATGAGCTAACAGCTGTGGCAGCCTCCCTCTATTTTGTATATGGGATGCTGCCATAGCATGGCTTGATGAGTAGTGTGTAGGTCCACGCCCATGGGATGTGAACCTGCAAACCCCGGGCCACCAAAGTGGAACGCAAGAACTTAGCCACCAGGCCAACCTCTCTATAAAACTAATTTAAAAGAGTGAATTCAAGTCTCACCTCATCATATAAACCAAGATTATATATACCATTACTATTGAAGCCACCTGAAGAGGCAAGGAGTCTCTCTCACTCGGCTCAGTTATTTATCTTGCTTAGTAAAGCAAGTATTACTGATTTTAAAAACAGGCATTCATTACTACAGTTACATCAACAATCAGCAGTTCAAAGAGGCTACTTGTGCTTTCTTATCACAGTGTCTGCCGAGCAAAATCAAATTTTATATTTTTCTGTAACATTTCCTGGCTTCCTTCCTTCCCAGTTCCTGACTTATCTCCATATTACTGGTGCACTGCATAAATATCCTAGTTATGCAAACTATGTGGCAAGGAAAATGTCTATACTGACAAAAGGAAATAAAAAACATAAAATATAAAATTGACTTTATGTATATGCAGCTATTTAAGTTATGTGAAATTACATATGTGTAGAAAGTCATATGCATACATGACTTAATACTGAAAGGAGCTGTGCAAAAATTAACAGAATTATCAACATAAGAGTCAGAAATTTTAGGGTGATTATCCTTTCTTCAAAATTTCCTTTAATGTAAAATATCTTATAATTTAAATAAAAACAGGAAGGAGTAACATACGTTAGAAATACTAGCATAAAATATATCAAATAAAATAACACACTTAAAAGATTTAGTTATCCAGAAAATTATTTATTAAGGATATATTGATCCTCTGTAGTTTCTGAATAAACAAATAAATGCTAGAGTTGAGTACACTCACGCCCAATACACAGTTATGTTATAAACACACCATCCCTGGCAGAATCTTACCTTTTTTATCATCAGAGACAACTATTAAGTAGTTTCAGGATACTTCAGAGACTGATTACCAAATTAAAAAAGGAAAGTATTGAATGGTTTCCCCTCCATTCACTGCTTCCAAAAATTATTTGCACAATGTCAAGACTCTCCAAAATATAGCCCCTGCCTCTTTCTCCATCCTCTATTTTTGCTATAGATCCTGTACTCCAAGTATTCCAAAGAACTGAACACACCACGCTATTAAATACTCACTGTCTTTATTCACGTGGTTTTTCTCTGCCTGGAGCGGTTTTTCCCATTCTTTTTAACTAGTTAGCGAATCCTCCTTCAGGATCCAGTTTGATTGTGATATCTCCATTCCCTCCAAAAGCTCTCCACTATGGGCTACTAGTGAACATTTTATTATGATATATGTTTATTAAAATAGCACTTCATCAACTGTTTCATGCTGAATTTCATTCATTACTTCCCTGTTAAAATTACAGATCCAAGGGAGCAGTCACTTGTCTTCTATGTATTATCAGAGCCTAGCATCCTGTCTGGTACACAAAATGACTCAAAAAATGTCTGAGGGTCAGCCTCGATGGCCTAGTGGTTAAAGTTCAGTGTGCTCTGCTTCGGCAGCCCAGGTTCAGTTCCCAGGCAGGGAACCACACCACTCCTCTGTTAGGGGCCATGCTGTGGCAGCAGCTCACATTAAAAAAAAAAAAAAAAAAAAAAAGGAAGATTGGCAACAGATGTTAGCTCAGGGCAAATCTTCCTCAGCAAAAAGAAAAATGTCTGAGAAACCCTTGCATGAGTAAATAAATATTTACTTTGTCCCCACACATGAAATAGCTGATATTTAAATACACTTATAAACCTTAACCTCATTGTCATTGCACTGACATTATTCAACTGAGTACTTAGCCCTAAAATATCCTCCTAAACCACAAACTGATTAAAATTTAATTAATATGAGCTATGTGAAGGAGTTACAGAAAAAGAAAAGGGAACCACTCTAAATAAACCATGCCCCAAATCTGCTAGATTATATTATTTATTTCAAAGGGGTAGGCCTTTGGTATAAAAATTATTCATTATACAACACAAACCTACCCTTTTAAACATATCACCTGCTAGTCTCCTACACAGATTCTTAGCTCCAGTCAAAATAATTTCATTGTCCTCCACAAGATCCCACTTCTCTATCTTCACTCATGTAGCTCTCCTTGCCTGGAATGCATACTCTAACCCTAGTTTTCAAGGCCAGCCTCCTCTATAAACCCTCTACCAAGTACACTCCCATAATGCAGTAGTCCTCCTTTAAATTCCTATGGCATTTAATTGCATGCTCATTCATTTAGTACCTGTCACATTTCATCTTGCATTAGTAGTAATCTATATATCTCTCACCCACCTAAATTTTAGGCTTTTTTATTTCAGGAATCATTTTTTAAATTTCACGGTATTATTAACAGTAGTTAACACAGATTTTCCTCTCTATACATATAGGTAAACCACTCAGGTGGTTTTTAAAATCTCCCTTACTTTTGGTTCACCATAGACACTGGAAATATTTATAGATTTATCAAAAGCCAAAATGAAGTCAGATGTTTATACAGTTTAAAACTAAAGTTTATAAACATCAAGTACTCATTTAATTATAAAATAACTACAATGTGGATAGTAATAAACCTACTAATTTTTATAGTAAGCCTTTTTAAATGTACTTATCACATAAGACATTAAATCTTTTCTGTTTTATTTTAACTAAAAGAAATGTAATTACAAGCATAATTTAAAACAGCAACGTACTGAGTGAAGATGCTCTTTAGCCTCTAGTGCTTTTCTGTTCACAATATCTAACGTTCCGGGAAAGGACTGATCATAGCTTGCTGGTCCTGGACCATCTGAAATAAACTTCTTAAAACGTTTCTCCCGGTTTTGTAAACTATGGCCTCCTTTTATGTGATACTAAATTAGAGGAAAAACATTATGAAATAATTAAAAGCAGCACTTTAATACCTATTTGATGAATATTACATATTAATATGAACAAATAGTTTCAAATCCCAACCTGAGATAGTTAAAGCTCTTGACTGAAGACATAGTTCTAGCAAAAGAGGATAATAAGAGAAGACGACAATTACAGCTGTCAATTTTAACTCTGAACTCAAACTAAAATTTATCATCCTTAGAGAATGCTAAGAGAATGCAAAACTCAGTTTTAAAACAGGAATCAGAGGCAAAGGAATCTCCAAAACTGTAGAGTAAGAATAAAGAGAGTATGTATATAGGCCCCTGGAGAATTTGTACCTCTGAAACAAGCTAAAAATGCCAGCACTCATGCTGCAAGCTAAAAGAAAACCTTCCAAGCTTGTTTAGGATTAATTATTTTCATCAGTAACATTTTGGTCATTTCCAGGGACATTGATGTAGGCTTACTGGCAACAGCTTGGTTTTATGCATGAGTTTTAAACATTGTTTATTGCAGAGAAGGCACTAGGAGGAATCTTCCATGCCTCTCCATGCCACACATTTGGATTTTCTAGAATCAGAAAATTATCAATCAGCTAACAGCCAATTAATTCAGATGAAATTCCATCACACTAGTTTCAACAAACAGTCACGGTGCAGTCATTTCAAAGATGATTCATAGTAATAGTGGTTGGCATCTGATTGATCAGATAAGTTTTTTTAAATTTATTGATTTACTGCAGACCTTTTCACATGCTGTGTACACGTCAGCTGTTCACAATCACTATTAACTGAGCCTATCTCTAGTTTGCATCTTATTCAGCTGCATTCAGCTTTTAAGAAATACACAAAAGAGGTCTGCTTTCAAAACACGAGTCAAATTATATTCTTAGATAACCAGTTCACCACTTTATTACTGCTTTAAATAGATCACAATCCCCATGTTTAAAGAGTTGGGATCTTTAATAATAGACTTTAATGATTTTGCAAAAACATTAACATTACAAGCCAGATAAAAGTACAATCATGTGAGGGCCAGCCCCATGGCATAGTGGTGGGGATTAGTGCATTCTGCTTTGGTGGCCCGGATTCCTGGGTTCGGATCCTGGGCATAGACCTGCACCACTCATCAGTCATGCTGTGGTGGCGACCCACATGTAAAGTGGAGGAGGACTGGCACAGATGTTAGCTCAGGGCTAATCTTCCTCAGCAAAAAAAAAAAAGTAAAATCCTGTGAAAAGAGAAGACCTCCTCAAATTTTGATTCTTTGAAAGCAATTACCATAGACTCCATGATCTTACATTTTAAACTGCAATTTGAATTTATACTGAATACTTCAACTAGAAGACAGTAAAATCAATCTAATCTAATTTTTTTAAACTGGTACAAATTAACCAGGATTTTTTTTTCAGATTATTCATATTTTCATAATCACCAATTCTACTGACCTTACAAGAGGTTAGAAAAGCAATTGCCATATGTCAAATAAATGACCCAAAAATTATATTACCAAGTAATTATACATTTTATATGAAAACCTGTGAGAAAGTGGTCTTACTACTTCTTGAGTACTGCACTTTGTCTGTATGCTATGGTTATTGGATGAGTTATTACATTGTCAGCAACCTCCCAAGATTATAGGAGGCAGAGTCTCACCTGCAGGGTGAGGCCATGCACTGTATCACACATAATATTCTGTCATTCAGCTGTAGTGAGGTGTACCTCTCAGATCAAAAATCAAACCTAATTTGGACACCTATTCCCAGGCCTAGGTAATGAGAAGTACGAAACAAACTATTATCTGGACCCAGGGAGGAGATCCTCACATCTAGAACCATTCTCATGCAGCAAGGAATAAGGCGGTACCTGCCATGCAGAGACAGGTCAGAAAGTGGAAGAGAATAGAACTAGAAAACATAGGTGAAATTTGTACTGACCCTTTGGAGTGGGAATCACCCTAGGAAACAAAATATGGACAGAACAAGGGATGTGACTTAACAGGCTAATTATCTATCAAAGGGTCAGAAGACCACACTGTCAACTTGATTCTTCTGCTTCTTTTACTTTCTTTTTTTTAAAGATTTTATTTTTCCTTTTTCGCTTCAAAGTCCCCGGGTACATAGTTGTGTATTTTTAGTTGTTGGTCCTTCTAGTTGTGCATGTGCGATGCCGCCTCAGCATGGGCTAATGAGCGGTGCCATGTCTGCACCCAGGATCCGAACCGGTGAAACCCTGGGCGGCGGAAGCAGAACGCACATACTTAACCACTCAGCCCCGGGGCTGACCCCTCTTTTATTTTCTTAATTTCCTTTATGTTATTTTCTACTAAGCAAACTTCCTTTTGAAAAAAAATTAGCATGCTTCATATATGCTAAAAGAAACAAAGGAAAAGCAATTTGGCCTATAATTGAGCAAAAGCTGTAAAGGCAAAAAGTATACCCCACCCCGACCCCCAACTTTGGAATAGTGGTGACAACCATGATCGAAGTGAAATGACCATAAGAGAAGGACCAAATTGGGGACACAGTTTCAACTCCCAAATGTCCTGCTTTTATGCTGTGTTTCACAGTGGAGGTGCCTCTCAGAACTTCAACTCACACTTTCGGTTTTTTAAAACTTCATTTGAAGTCTCCAAATGGTATTTACTAAGGAATTGCTGATAGAAAGCAACATTTCAACCTATGATTCCGAAAGAAAAGTATAAAAGTAAATTGCTAAAGACTGGCATTAATTATCAATAAGATCATCCCTTTAATTATTATCCAATATATTAATTATTTACAGAATTAATATGTAAACTATGTCACATTACAAACATGCTTCCTAATTCAGGCATTTAAAACGAAACGGACTTTATTTTTTAAACTGTGATAAATTCACATTTCTTGAACTCTACAAGTTCTGCAAGACTTTAGCCTAAAACTACAAAAAAAAAATCAACAGCAATTAAGTAAATAAGTCATAAGCCATGTTTTAAACCAAGGAAATAAATCTTTCCTTGCATTTGTCTATAGTTTTAAGAAGAAAAGTAAAGAATACTAGGACTCTTTTTCTTAGATCACTATTACACACCAAAAAAAAAGCATATTTCCTAATTTCTTATTCTTAAAATCTGAGAAAGATATCCAATTTGGAATAAAATAAAATTTTATCTAAATTGTACTTTATATCATTTTACATGTGGAATTGACTAAAATCAGTATTAACATAAAATAACATTCCAGTATCCTGATACTTGTCATATTTAAAAGTTTGAAATCTACGTATTGTGTATTTTAATACATTACCCTCTTGGAATACTGGAGTTACATACCAGTCTTCATAAAGAACTACTGGTAGAACTAGCAGCCAATACACCCATAATATGCAGGTCTGTGGGCCATGGAGTGGAAGCAGGAGTGACACTTCTAACGATTACATCGAATGACCTATTATCAAATTTTTGCTTTTTGTCCTCTAGGCTCTAGTATTCTGGAAGTTTTAAGACCCCAGGGATGAGCAATTGATATCCCACTGAATTGGAAGTCAAAACCATCAACTGGCCATTTCAAGCTCTTTATGACACAAAGCAGAAAGCAAAATAAAGAGATTAACATATTGGCTGAGGTGATTAAGCCTAACCAGGACTGAAAAACAGAACTAATAAGAGCTAAGAGGATTGCAGTGGGGTACGACACAGGGACATCCTGCAGAGATTTCTCACACTATAACACCCAAGGAAAATGCTAAGAGCAAGTTTATTCAAAGGGTTGAGAAGCAAGCCTGAGAACCAAGAGCTCAGATCCCTTAGAACTGAAGGTTTTGGTCACCCCACCAAGCTAAGAACTCCACCAGATGAAGTAAGTCTTTGTTGAAGAGATGGGGAACATGGAATGACTAATGGAAAATCTTAAGCTACCTATAGCCTCACAATCAGTTACAGAAATAGAATAAGTCCCCACCTCTATTTCCTTGCTTCCCACGTCACCTTCTTTCATTTTCCCTCTCTTTTTTCCCCCTTTTATTATAAAACAGCAACACCAATAATAGTTGAAATGTATGCTAACTATAGTCAGGCACTATCCTAAATGTTTATTAACATATTTAATCCTTAGAAACATATTTAATCCTACAAAGTTATTACCCCTATTTAACAGATGAGGAAACTAAGGACCAAAGAGATTAAGGCGATAAGATTAAGTCTCACAGCTAGTAAGTGGCAGAGAATAATTTTGAATCTAGGTAGTCTAGCTCCAGAGTCCACACTCCTAACCACTTCTTTATAATATCTCATGTTATATTTACCATTTAATCCATAGGTCACAGAATAATGAAAGAGGAATGTGAAGGAACATGAGAAGAACTGGCCTTAATCCAGGATTCATTTGATAATGACACTGTAATATCATCTCTGAATGCAGTAACTAGACATTAGTTTGGGTCCTTCTGGGAAGGTATATGTTAAAATTATACATCAAATAACTGCATTTTTTAAATTACATATATGGGAAGAAGAATTGTGTGTGTGTATGTGTGTGTGTGTGTGTTGTGTGCATGAGAGAGAAGAGAGCCAGGAAGTTAAAGGGTGAAATGTAATGGAAATCTATTGTCTGTTGTTTTTATTTGTCCAGCATCCCTTCTATTATCTGCTCGTAACAGCATATTCACCACCCTTGGGACAATCAAACCTCCACCATACTTTGCAATTTTAAAGGACCTTCCAAACACAGAATTCCCTATCCCAGGAACCACAGGTGTGGGTCTATAATGAAACTGGAGCAAACAGATTCTCCCTACCAGGAATTTTAATCTTGAGTAGTGTCACACACAAAAAATGGAAGGAAGTTGTATAAATGGGTTATTTAATGGCAGCTCACTATTGAATGGTGCAGAAGTTCTTACTACTGAAATATCTGGTATTGCCTTAGTCCTGTCCTTCCACAAGACCTGTTGATTCAATTCTTCCTTCAAGTCTATGAGCTACCCCAGTACCTTTCCTAAAAATCTTTTATTGTAAACCTAGCATCTGTTGTAAAAATCTATTCTATTGGTTGCAACCAAAAAACTCCAACAGATAGAATGGTTGCTATTATTAATTCAAGAAGTCTAATGCAAAAATTAAGGCATCAATGACTATATCTGGGCCTCCAACAGGGGAGATAAAGGTCTGCTAGGGTTATCAGTAGTCATTATGTATGAATGCAAAACTTATGTGAAAGAGTAAAGATGATGTTCATGACTATGAAGATATTGGAGTTACAGCCACTGTTTCTGAACACGAATGGACCATCAAAGATATTCTTGTCACAGACTCGAGACTGTAGTGACATAGGAGACAGATGAGACAATGGCAATAGCTATAGCTTTAGAGTATGGCACACAAACCAATTCCTATTGCCATCCTCTTCTACATATCTTGAACATTTGCATAACTTCATGGGCCATATTTCATTCAATAATCCTATTCTCCCATTCAAGAATCTCAAGGACCATGAAGGATGTAACAATGTTTCATGTCTTATAGAATATATAGAATAATGAAGAACCCTAATGAGACAACCATCATTGAACACATTTATTTTCTTATTCTAATTACAAAATATAGATTGAAAGTAGAAAGAAGATGATGCCAAGGAAAAATAAAAGTTGACAAATGACGTGTTAGTCTATTAGAGGACGAAAGCATGATTTTTATTAACTCAGACAATTATAACTATTATAAACTTACCTGTGCTTCTGAAACATTATAGTGTCCTGGACCTGGAACAGCTTTCTCAGTGTTAGAGGGAACAGTAAAAGAGCTGTCTCTGGCAGCCAAAGAAAGGAATGGGGCATAGCCACCTATAAAAGTAAAATCATATCATTGGTAGATAAGATAGGATTTCAATGATTTCAGAGAAAAAGCACTCAAAATATATAAAATCATTTAGTAACCTCAATTGCTGAGACTATATTATCAGAACGAATGGCTAGCCACAGAAGCTGTTGCATTTTTGAAGTTCTGATATAAGAGCAGAATTTTTATTAATATATCTTAAATATAAGAACCTATAGAACTGGACTTACTGAACAACAGAAAAAATACCTAAAGAAAATTTAAAAGAAAATAAAAGTCTTTTTTTTCTTCTAAGCATATTTGGTTGGGATGAAAATGGCAGTTATATTTAGCTGATAAAATATTTTCAACCTCAGAAGACCACTGTCTCATACTTGGGAAGAACATCTATTGTTTGCAGAGAATGCATATATAAATTTGTAGAAGGCCTGGACAGAAATAATTTAAAGTGAGTTTACAGCAAGTCATTAATAATATCTCCTTGATTTGCTACATAGTTGGCACTCTAAATATTTCTTGATTGCTTGACCCCAAACAAAGGTTTACAAACCCAAGATACAAATTTCTTTGGAACAGGCAATCATAAGATTAGATAAACTTAGCAGATAAATTTAGTAGACAGACAGTGTGCCGACAGACTGATAGACGATTTCAAGAAATGTATCAAGCAAATGAGTATAGTTTAAGCAACACAGATGTTGAAGAAGAGATGGGAAAGAACATAGCAGCTATATTCAATAGGTAATAAAAGAATGAAAGTGAGGACTCAAAACTTGTGAGAATCATGTACACTAAAGGAAAATGTCTGCTACTGTGAGAATTTATGGTGATAATTAGTATAGTTTAAAATCTTGCTAATCTGGACTAACAATAAATGGTACTCTTTTTAAAACTAGAAATAATGTGTTTCTTTTAAGGCCCACTTACATTAAAATGCAACTGAAATTAAGAATTATTTGTGTTAGGTATTACAGCATAAAAGAGGTGGATAAAACACAGACCTTACTCTTAAAAAGCAACAATCTACTGAAGCATTAAAAGCACTAAAATAATTTTAAACAAGGAAAAATATTTCAAGTGCCAAAATGCCAGAAGGTCAAAAAGAGTAGAAATTCTCATCCACACTGAGGTGGTCATAAAAAGCTTCATAACTGTGCTAAAACTCTGGGTGTTAATTTAGTGACTGATGGTTTGAACTGGCTGTACCAGAGCAAAAAAAAAAAAAAAAGCACCTTTAGATAGTAACAAAGACAACAAGAACAGAAATCCTCAAAAGGAGGCCAAGGCTCATTTGAAAGGCAAGGATTGTCCAGGAGAGTTGAGAAACCCAGGACACCAGTGAAGTGTTCCAAATCAGGGTACATAACCAGAGAAGAAACAGATTCCATTCAAAACACACACACAGGCGCACACAAACCAAGTACAGATTATGTACAACTAACAGAAAGTCTTTCCAAGAAGCAGGAAAATATGTCTAACAAACAGGAGAAAAGCCAATGAAAAGAAACAGATGTAGAAATGGGAAGATGGAATCAGCACACAAGAACATCAAAGTATCTATTATAATATTCTTCCTATGTTCTACCAGATAGAATAAAGGTGAATATAATGAGGAGATAAAGGGAAGATAAAAAAAAAAAGACCCAAATCAAACTTCTGAAATGAGAAGTACACTGGATGGGATTAACAACAAATTCTATGTGGGTAAATAAAAGATATTTTTTCTCAATTCTTAATCCATTTAAAAAATAACTGTTTAAAGCAAACATAATTTCAATTCACTGTGGCATTATAGCATATGTAGAAGTAAAATATATGGCCACAATAGCACAAAGGATGAGATGGGGGAAATGGAAGCACACTGTTGTAAGGCTCATATACCGTACGTGAAGTGGTACGATATTATTTGAAGGTAGACTTTGATAAGTTAGAGAGGTATGTTATAAACCCTCGTGCAACCACTAAAAAATAAAACAAAGAGGCGTACCTAGTGAACCAATGGTGGACATAAAAATAGAACCACTTCTAAAAAAACACTCAACTCATTGGACGAAGGCAGGGAAAAAGAAAAGAGAAACAAAGAACAGATGAGATAAATAGAAAACAAATAGCAAGAGAGTAAATTTAAATACAACAATATCAATAATTAAATGGAAAAGTTCTAAACACCCTCAATTAAAAGGCAGAGATTGTCGGATTGGATTAAAAAGCAAGACCCAACGTTATGCTATCTACAGGAAATCCTCTTAAAACATAAAGACACAGAGGTTAAAAATGAAAGGATGAAAAAAGATATACCATGCATCTATGAATCAAAGAAAGCTGGAGTGACTCTATGAAAATCAGATAAAGCCGATTTGAGAACAAGGAACACCAGGGATAAGAGAGACATTTCATTATGACAAAGGGGTTATTTCATCAAGAGGATTTAATAATCCATAAAGAAAAGCAAGGAAGCGATTGCCATAAAAATCAAAACAGTGCCTACCTGTAGAGAAGGAAAGAGTTATGATTAGAAAGGGAAATTTAGCAACCTTATATTTCTTCACTTGAGTATTCATTTTTAATGAATTTATATTTATATTTTATGCAGTTTTATGCAAAAGTTTTCATCTCACAATTAAAGGTATTTTTTTGTAATTTAGTTTCATATAGACAATAAGGTAATATGAGTTAGATATGAAAACTGAGAAAGCTCAAGTCAGGCGAGTTCTGAGGCAGCTGTCATCACAACATGACAGAGATTATAACTGAATCTACCTAAACAGACATAAAATTAATTGCAAAATAATGAAATTCATATAAAAATGGAAAAAAACACACAATAGTGCCATGTATGCATGAAAGCCAGTACTCTAAAATCTTCATTGAAGTTTTCCAAAATTAATTATATAGAAATTTTCAGCAATAGGCTAAAAGTTTATATGAAATATTGACCTCAAGTAAAACCTCAAGAAAATTAAAGTGTTTCTACTGATAAGCTTCACGAGAGAAGGGATTTTTCTGTTTTATCTAATGTTTACAGTTAGGGTGACAAACTGTCCTAGTTTTCCCAGGACAAAGGACTTTTAATGCTAAAACCAGGAGATTCCCAAATAAACGAGGATGGTTGGTCATCCCACCATATTAAATAATATATAGTGCCCTGCATATTAAATAATAAATATGGAATTAATAGGTGATATTCTAAACTACACCTTTAGCCATTCAGTCAACAATACTGAATGCTTTATTATGTGTCAGAAAGAGGCAGTGAGGGCACACTAATGAGTAAGCTAAAACCATGGCTCAAATAGTGGGGAAGCTAGACTTACAGACAAATAATTACATTACAAACAGTGCTGCCAATAATTAAGGTATAAAACATAGGAGAAGAGGGTTCTGGGGAATTAGGGTTGGAGCGTAAGAAGTTTGATTTGGGCCATATGGATACATTGACATATGAAGTGCCAATTACGAATGATAAATCAAACTGTCAGGTAGAAAGAAGAAATTAAGAATACGGGAGAGGAAAAGATTTGAGAAGAAAGAAGTAAGCTCATTTTGTGCTACATTGAGTTTGAGGTGCTAACAGCAGAAGATAAATCAAACTGACATGAAGCAATAAAAGTCAGTCCATTCTGAGAGAAGGCGGGCAGCACGTGATTAAATGACAAGTTCTGTAGTCACAGCTACAGCCACAAAACAAAGAGGGCATTCTTCACGTAACAGCAATTAACGAGATCTTTGAAACATGTACTCATCTTCAGGAAGATCAACATACAGAGTAATAATATGCATATTGTTTACTTAAACAAATAAAGACAGATTGCATTCTCTGAGGTGATCTCCCTAAATTCTGATTGGCTAATGAGACAGAATCATTATTGTTGGCAGAAACACAGGGGCATGAGCACGAGACCATGGACAGCTCATCTTCTTCGGCAAATAAAGCTAACCAGAAGATAATCTTCTGGGGGAGAGAAAGCTTTCTCCCACATCAAAGAAGAAATCTGGGAAAGAATATATTTAGGAGCTGGTGTCACCTCGCTTAGATAACTAATATAGAACCAATATAGATAACTTATATACAGCTAATGTGGGGTGCCATTCATTATGTAAATCAAGCTCAAAAAGCAGTGAAATACTCCTTAGCACAATAATGCCAGGAGCAGTCACATTATTAAAAGGACTGTGTTTTTGTCATATTTTACTAGGTTGACTGTCTCTAGGGAAAATTTGCTTTGATGAGTTAAGATATGCTTGCTCCTCAAATAACTATGACAAAATCAGGAACAGCTCTCACTAATCTAGAACTGGAAGATCCATTATCTCCCCCACTCATGAAATCAAGGCAGCTCAGTCCCACCCCTTTCAGGCTGCAAATCCTGGGTGGAAAAGAATCTGATCAAATTGCCAAAAGCAGAGGCAATGAAGTTTGCAAATTAGGGTGGAAAGAATTTCCTGAGGAATATGTGGAAACAAGACAGTGGAGGATTGACCAAATCCGCTACAGTAAGAGGACAGTGGTAATTAGGAGAAAGGTTAGAATAATGAGCATCTGCATCCTTCTTTTGAAGATCTAGGACTCTAAAGTCCTCTCCTCTTGTGTAGTTCAAGGTAACAAGCAAGCTATACAAAGTCCCAATATCTGCTCTTCCTACATCACACTCTGTAAAAACTACCTGACCATTAACTGAAATAATTGTTTACACCTCTGCATAGTCCAGTATGTTACTGGTCTTAGGAGTAAGGCAGAACGTACCTAGGAAAGGAACAGTAGCTACTTTTAAATTATCTTGCCAGGGAATCCATTACAGAAATGACTAAAGAGACACTTGTACCTCTATCCATTATCAGGATGTCACTGCTGAGTAGTGCTAAAACAGGGATCTATAAGAGGCAGCTGCTCAAAGTTCTCAAGCATGGAATTTCCTAGTCTCCTTCGTAGGTGAACAAGGCACAATCCGATAAAACAATAAAAGAAGGGCCTTGCAACACCCTACTTACTGCTCTCTAAGCAGAGTTCACACAAGTCATGTTATGAGAGTTTTTAATTTTGCTATGTGTAGCTCGTTAGACTTTTTAACTTTATTTCAAGAATTACTTTGTTATTTTTTTTAAAATTAAGCACTTATGCGTTATGGTATTGAGCTTAAAACTGAGAATAACAGAGTAAAGATCATGGTTATCGCTCTCAAGAAGCTCACATTTTAGTGCAGCAACCAGAGAAACTAACAGGTAATTACAATATAGTAAATGAAAGAGTCATTGAGGAGTCAAAGAAGGAAAATTTGAAAAAGAGTGGAGTCAGAGAACAACTTCACTTTACCTAAGTCTCAAAGATTAAGTAAGAATTAGCCAAGTGAGAAAGGAAGAGAGAGCATACTCAGCAAAGCTATCAGCAGGTACAAAGCCATGAACTTATAGAAAACACAAAGTCAGAATTGCCAATACATAGGTTAAATGTTGGTGGAGGTGTGGTTGCCTAAAAAGACCAGGTAAAGTGGGAGACCAGGTCAGGAATCAGATCGTGAAGAATCTTACGCACCATGTTAAGAAGTTCAGATTTTAACCTTAGAGTTTAAAAAAACAACATAATTATACATGCTTCAAACAACATGTTTAAAAGAAAACCATAATTTTATCTTAGAAAGATCATGTTAGCCATAAAATAGAAATTGGATTGGAGAGTGAAATAAAGAGAAATCAGTAATATTGGTTTATTTCAGAACAGAAATCATGAGGCTTGAACCAAGTGAAGGGTAGTTAAAGGAAGAATAGGGACCAATTTTAGAGATACTGAAAAGACAGAATCAATAGGTCTTAATGATCAATGGGAGTGGTCAGTAAGAGAACAAAGAGTCTAGAACAAGTCCAAAGCCTAACGTTTATAATTGACTGATAGGGAATTTTTTTCAAAGGGGCCTGTAATAGTGCAGAAAATGATGAGTTCAGACACTTGGAATTTCAGAGGCCAGAGACCACCCAGATAGAGATTTCCCAAAAAGTAACTGGCGATGTTGAAAGCCTTAAGATTAGAAGAAAGCTCATCTTAGAGATATAACTCACCTATATGCCTAATGACTGTCTTCTGGGAGTCAGCAGAATCAGAATATGCACAGTAGTTGAAGCTATGGATCTGAATGAGAAAGTGCACACGAGAAAAGCCACAAGCAAAGGATGGAAAGTACAAGACATAAACATTTAAAAGGTGTTTAGAAAAAATAAAAAACTTTAAAGACTATGAAGGATTTGTTGGAGAGGGGAAAAAATGATTCCCTGATTCAGCATTTAACAAATGTTTATTAGGTTCTAACCATTTATCAGGAACTGTGTCAAGACAGCAATTTGGAGAAAAACACAAGCAAAAATGATGACGTTACAGAAACCAGGGGAAGAAATAGTTCTAAAAAGAGGGTGGTCAGTTGTGTCAAAATTAAAAAAGGATTGAAAAGTATCATAAGTGTAAGCATTTGGGGTGGTTGTCGGTGGCTAGTAAATTGTTAGGGAGTTAATGTTTCTAACAACTCAACTGCATCAAATAAAGACATAATAAGCTCCAAGAATACTAATATCAATATCAGATGCTGAAAAGCAGTAAAATTCAAGATTAAAACAATGACAAATGACAAATTCGTACTCCCAAAGAAACCTAAATTAGGTATTAGGCTTAATAACCTAATCTGACCAGCCATGTCAGAGTGATGGATCCTGGCCTTTGTTTAAAAATAGTGTAGGAATAGGGAAAAGGCAGGTTAACAAGGGAAAAACTATAATTTGGATGGTATTAAGTTCCGCAAAATCATCAGATTAGGAAAAGCAGAAAACAAACTGGAAATATTTATTAAAAGTTTCCCCAAAGTCACTAACTGCAAACAAATGCGGAGAGCAAATAATCATTTAAATTACCCATCCCCACTCCATCTCTCAAGAGTGTAGCTTTTCTTTACAGAAAATGAGATAAAGGGCCCTCACTAAGCATGTTCAAAGCGAAATGGGTATAGTCAGATAGGAAGCATCTATCTGAAAAAATACATAGCACTATCTTTAAATGATATTGCAAAATAAAAACATGAGTTACATCCTAGTAAATAAATGTTTCTCTGGCTAATGGTAGAAATAGGCATGTGAGGCAGACAGGTTTACAAAGAAGAGACAGTAGGCGGTAAGAAGTACACAGGACTTGGAGACTCGTAGTCAAGAGGAAGGAAATCCTAGATCGAATGTGTTCCATTGAAAGTATGATGTAGACGACCACTGTAGAATCAAAAGTCCTAGCCATAGGCTCACTGACCTTGTGAAACAGGAGAAATGATTTTACCAGTTATCACCTGTAAACTAAGGACAGGACGTCCCCTGCCTGCTTCATGTTTCATTGTATTTATGAAGTGGTGCTATTACGTTTAATTCGCAGGCACACGGAAGCGGGCAGGCTGTAGGTGAGGTGCCTGTCACAGAAGGCTCGCCTCTCCCTGCACCTTACCTGTTGCCTGCTGCTTCAGGAAAGGTACCTGGTAGGACCCAGGCCCCACGTGATCCTCAGTGCTGCCACCTTTCGCCAATCTGAGCCAGCGAGGAGCCCGATCATACATAATGGAGGCGCGGGTGGCTGAAAAGGGGTAAAATCGGGCGGCTAGAGGGGGTGTGGAGCAAAAGGAATCAGACAGTGCGAGAAGGCGGGGGCAGAACTTCCATACACGGAGGAGCCAGCAGAGGGGCTGCCTCCCCACCCGCTCATTGGTGTCAGATTTCCCTCAGGTCGATTTCTAACCCCATGGTAAAGCGGCAGGGAGCGCGACCAGACATAAGACACCCCACACGACGATGTAACTATGCCCTAGCCGAGAGCTGAGGCAGGGCTCCTAACGAGACTAAAGAACAGGGGCCCGCCCCTGTGCTTCCGGCCCTGACTCCGCCCACTTCCCCCCGCCCCGGAAGTCTCTGGGAAGGAGAGGGATGGTGCTTCCGGGCCGAGGTCTCGGAGTGTGAGTGCGGAGCTTTGAGACGGCTCGCGCGCCCCGCCCGGACCTCTGGCGTCGTGTAGGACAGGGCAGCCCGAGCCGTGTTTCTTTCTGTGGGTCCTGCTGTAGGTCCCGGTCTCGTCAGAAAACCTCGAGGAAACGCATGAGCAGGGGTTAGGGCTAGCCTGACCGTGATTCATCTCCCCTATAAATCAGCCAGGGCGGCAGGCAAGAGCCCGGCAAGAACCGTGTAAGAACAGAACGATCTAGCGCGAACGGCGCCTGCGCCCCGCAGAGGAGGAGCGCCTCGGACTCTGCCCGGTGTCCGCCCGCGCTGTGCGAAGAGAGCAGCGTGTGCCGGCGACAGGGAGCGGGCGGGGGGCCTCGAGCTGCCGCTGGGGTCGGGCCTCGCCGTGGGTGGCGCCCTGCCGCCCTCCAGACCGTGGGGCCCTTAGCCTTAGGCGAAGGAGCTCGGATTCTGCGGAGGCCTGGAGGAGTCTGTCGGAAGCCACCTCGGGGTTGTCTCGAGCTGTTCTTTCAGCAGGAATCTGATCATGCTTGAAGGCTTACCCGAATCCTGCTTTGACCATGCCTTCCCCTGAATCAGCCACGTTACTTTAACTTGTTCCCGCTATAACTTCTTACAGTGTGTATGCTCTGTGGAACACAGTTTAATACTCAATGCTGTGGGTCATTTATTGTGGCTTAATCGTTCCAGGTATGTTAGAATGATCTCTATACAAGGCCACGTGCTTCTCAAGAATACGTCTGTAATGCCTTTTTTCCCTGCTCAATAACCAGCTGAATAACTTTTGGTCGCTTAGAAAATACTTATTGGCATATAGTATAGATTCAGTACCCTGCTAGGTTCTGGGGATACAGAGGTGTAAGGCCCCATCCTCAGGCTTTCTATAGCTAAGGGAGAAGACCGTGTATAATCCATAACAGAAGGGGACAAGAGAGATGTACAAAATGATAAAACAACAAATGTTGCAGTACTTTGGAAACCTCTTCCTGCTAAGAAAGGAGACGCTGATCAGTGATCTTTCTCCCTGACTGCAATTCTTGCATTCTTCAGAAGCCCTCGTGTTTAAACCTTGTCCCCAGTGGCCACAGTTACCCGCTGAGATCTGGAGGAGGTTCATTGTTAGACTTTAGATATAGTGTGAAGGAAAGAGCCATAGAGCTAGAAGGATAAAAGTCTGTGTGCTTTGGAGGATGGTCCAGCGGTGCCTGTAAATTAGCCGGCTCTTGGACATTCCTTAAGAACATTATTTGCCCTCGACCCGAACAAAAATGTAAACCCAGGAAGCAAATTCAGGTCCAGGCCATGTTTGCTGCAGGCACTGGGGCAGACTCGCACGTCCCCCTCTCGGCTCTTGTCTGGAACGGCCTAGAGTACTCTTTGCGGGGGTAGATTGGGCTTTGACATTGGGAATGGAAGTGGTCAAGCAGGCTTTATCTGCTGTGTGGTTTGCTCTTTGGCCAGTGAGCCTGACCCGACTCAGACAAGAGGCGTTCTTCACAGGTCGTGTCCCAGCTCATTTATAGATGTCTAAAGGGGGGTTTGTGACCTTCGCTCCTTTGTGCCGGCTGGGAATACAGAGTTTATCTTGCCTGCCTCCTCGTTGCAATCCTTTCCTCAAGGACCGGGTGGGGAGGGGTAGCTGATCAATGGCAGGACGGAGTGTTTCTGGGACTTGTGGCCAGATCCTACCTAAATATCACACCACTGAGATACGACCTCTACACTCTTCATAACTTTGTAATGCTTGGTCTCTCAGAATTCTGCATTCTTAACAAAAAGTCCTTCAATAAGTTTTTGGTGTTAAAGTCCCTACCCTGTTTCCGCCATCACTGCGGCTGTTCTCTCCCTCAGTCCCAGCTATTATTTTCCTCTTGTGGTTCAGTAACCAGAATGGTACACAGTATTTCAGAATCGGAAAGTATTTTTAAATGAGAACGGTAAGTCATTTTCACCGTCTCATTGTGGTAAATATTACTTTAATAGTTTAGAATGAGTGTGCTGCTAAAAAATTAAAAACATATTAACTCAGGATTATAAATACATATGAACACAAAATAAAGAATTTGATTCAGGATTGCATTCCTCAATTCCTGAAAAATAGTTTTGTTTTGTTTTTTGTTTTTTTTTTTTTTTGAGGAAGATTAGCCCTGAGCTAACTGCTGCCAATCCTCCTCTTTTTGCTGAGGAAGACTGGCCCTGAGCTAACATCAGTGCCCATGTTCCTCTACTTTATATGTGGGACGCCTACCACAGCATGGCTTGCCAAGCAGTGCCATGTCCGCACCCGGGATCCGAACCAGCAAACCGCAGGCCACCAAAGTGGAACATGCGAACTTAACCACTGCGCCACCAGGCTTGCCCCCTGACAAGTAGTTTTAATGCTAATGTTTAATGCCAGTTCTAATGTGGTTACACTATATGACCATTTCCACAGTATTAGTAAGAAGAAATGGAACCTGTTTGAACTAAGATTTATTTGACTACAAAATTTGAGTTTTTTCCATTTCTCCATGTTGGCTCCCACTAGAATAAACTTTAAAATGGAGCTTAAGTCAAATTAGTTCTTTATCGAATATTTTCACAGCAATAAAGAATTCTGTAGTCATCAATTTTTCTTTATAACATTTTGAGGATTAAATAGATAACAACATATGATATCTAGAGTATCACATGAGGGGTGGGAATTCTGCCTTAAAGAGCATTATATACCTTATAAGTATTAGAAAACTGAATTGATTTTGAAATATTTCTACAACTCATCCTTACTGATTTTCCATTGTTGTGCTTTTAAAAAATAAAAATAAGGTAATGGTAATAAACCATTTGACATTTATAAAAGTCAACCAAATATACCTTATCAATGTTATTAAAGATCCCATTTGTAAAGTGATATGCATTCAAGTTAAAACGGTAAAATTTTATATTTATATAACGATTTGAAGCTTACAAAATATATTTTACATTCAGTATTTTGTTTAATATACATTTGTGTTTCTCTAAACTATAGGATTAATATGACTCTGAAATCATCAAATTTCATGGAATGTGTTTTAAAAATTATACCATATTATCAGGGACCACCTGACTTTTTTTTCACTTACATTTATTGAGCACCTACTATGTGCAAGCACTGTGTGAAGCACTTTACATGAATACTGTAAATCATTTCTCACATAACCCATGAGGTAGGTTCTGTTTAATATCTCTATCTAATAATATGTTGAGGCTTAGGGCTATTAAATTTCTTGTCCAGTGTCACATAGTTAATGAATGATGAAGTTGGATTTAAAGCTAGTTAGTTTGACTCTGGAAACTGTTTTCAGAGCCATTATAGGGGAAATGCCCCCAACTGTGCTCTACTTCCACATCCAATAATTTTTTTCTCCCTTCTTGTTTGAGTTTGGCTGCATGTTTACATATTTGTCTAAAAAAGAAAGACTAGAGGTAGTCTTTCAGGGGCAGCATGGTGGCTCTTTGATGGCAGGGAACCAATCTGCTCTATCATGCTGCTCCGTATCTTGATGAGTGGCTTCCATTCTTTAGATCACCTCATGGTCCAAAAATTATCTGCTGGAGTTCCAGCCATTATAAACAGTAGGAAGGAAAATAAAATTATGCCCTTCTCCTTTTCAAGGAGTTTATCCAGAAGTAACACACAAAATATATGCTTACATTTCATTGGCCCAAACTATGTCACATCTGCAGCACTATAGCACATCTAGCTATAAAGAAGGCTGGGAAACATAGCTAAATTGTGGGTGCCAGGTTCTATTACTAAAGAGAAGGGAGTCAGTGTAAAGAAAAGCACCTCTCACTTTCTTCTGCAATCACCCTTTTGGGAAACCTTCCCCTCCCTTGGTGTCCAAGGTTCCCCACTTTCCAGGTTCTCATTCTACTTTCTCTTGACAGCACCTACTTTCTCCTCTAACCTTTGTTTCTTTGTCATTTTTCTTACTTCTCCCATCCTCTTCTCTCTTTCTCATAAATCATGAATCCTCTTTGAGATTCATGCATTTCCAAGTGTCTGCTTAACACCTAAATATAAGTAAGTGATTCACCAATACTTCAAATTAAATATTCTCAAACCTTAATACATTTTTTCTCTGGGAAGCTTGACCATCCTGCTGATGTCCTATTTCTGTTCAGAAGAAAAACATCTTCCCATACATAAAGCTTGAAACCTCTTTTCAACCTTCTTAGTTCTCGTTTTGCTCCCACATCCAAACAGCTGCCAAGTTCTATTGTTTCTACCTCTGGGATCTTTCTGAAATCCACCCCTCACCCCGTTCTTGCTGTCATCTTGTGGGTACTCTCAACCCTGCTGATCTGGTCTATTCTACTATCTCAACTGGAATTCCTTTTGCAATCTTTCTGTTACAGTTTATCCCACATAGTGCAGTTAGTTAATCTTCCCACATATGATTTTGAGAATGTTACTCTCCTGCTCAGAAATCTCCTATTGCTTACTGAATAAGTTGGGCATTGGGTGTTTCAAACAGCCAATCTACCTTTCAATTCCTGTACCTTCCAATACTCCCATTCACACAAGTTATATTTTGGTCAAATAAACCTTGCCCTTTCCATCTATATGCATTTGTTCAAGACTTTATTTCTGCCTGGAAATACCCTCCCTCAACTTCTTATCCATGAATGCTAAACTCCAGAGAGCGTCATTTTTTAATTCCTCACCACGTTTAGCACAGCACGTTTCAAAGAGTACATTTTTACTGTTTGTTGAGTTAATGTTTAAAACAATAGCAAAATATAAACTGAAACACCATCCATGCAATATTATTTTTGATAGCAGCTTAGTAATTTACATTTGATGAGAAATAACCGATTCTTTAAAATGTTATAGAACAACAAAGCTACTCATTCAGAAAAAGAACAAACCACACTTACAATAATTAATCCATCTCCTAAGTTTTCACAATCATCCACATTTGGGGATAGTTTCTGTTAGCTTTTTAAAAACTATTGTTCTGTCAGATAGAAGGACACAAAGAGACCGACGGGAAAATTTTGGGAATTAAGGAAAGCAGCTTTTTAGAGGTAGTACCAAGAAGACAGAGTTCTCTACTTGTTAGAGTATATTAAGCATGTCTGTGCTAGAAAGCACATGGATACTAGTTAAATACCAGTTATTAATATGAAGATATAGGAGGTCATATGTCTAAGTAGAAACTGAATCAACAGAATTAGAAGATAAGCCACAGGCTAAGAGAAAATATTTGCAAAAGACACATCTGATAAAGGACTGTTATCCAAAATAAAGAACTCTTAAAACTCAACAATAAGAAAAAAATCTAATTTACAAATGGGCAAAATACCTGAACGCTTCACCAAAGAAGATAAACAGATGGCAAATAAACATACAGAAAAGATGTTCCACATCATTTGTCATCAGGGAAATGTAAATTAAGGCAACAATGAGATACCACTTGTATTATTCAGGGTTCTCCAGAGAAACTGAACCAATATTATAGAGAGAGAGAGAGAGATAAGAGGAGATTTGTTATAGGAGTTGATTCACATGTTTATGAAGGCGAAAAAGTCCCGCAATCTGTTATCTGCAAGCTGGAGAACCAGGAAAGCTGCTGACATAATTCAGTTCGAGTCCAAAGGCCTGAGAACAAGGGACGTCAATGTTATTACTCTAAGTCCAAGGTCAGAGGCCTGAGAACTGGGCCACAGGTGTAAGTTCCAGAGTCCAAAGGCCCAAGAACTAGGAGCTCTGATGTCCAAGGGCAGGAGAAGATGGACATCCAAGCTCAAGAAGAGAGACAGAGATTTTATCTTTCTTTTGCTTTTTTGTTCCATTCAGGCCCCCAATGGGTTGGATGCTGCCTGCCCACATTGGTGAGGACAAATCTTTACTCAGTCTATTGAATCAAATGCTAATCTTTTCTAGAAACACTCCTACAGACACACCCAAAAATAATGTTTTATCAGCTTTCTGGGAATTCCATAAGCCCATCAAGCTGACACATAAAATTAACCAGCACACCACTACACACCTATTAGAATGGCCAGAACACTGAGTACACCAAATGCTGACAAGGATGTGGAGCAACAGGAATGCTCATGCATTACTAGTGGGAATACAGAATGGTATAG